CACTCCCTCCCCCCCCGCCCCCCCCTGCCCCACCAGTTTCAGCGCGCAGGGCTTCCGCTCCTTCGCGCCACAGCTGCTGGAGTTCAGGGGTATTAGGAGGAACCCTAGAAGGGACCCTTCATCTGATTCCCCTGTATACCTCCAATATATACCTTATAGAGTCCCTACATACGTAGGTATCCCCCACATAACCCTAAAGAACCCCTGAGGTCCCTTGTAAGGGTCCCTCCTTTAGTCCCTCGATGTGGGATCTGCCGCCGCCAAGTGGCGGGCAGCTTCTCACCTAACCCGCCCTGGCTCTCCCTGTGCTTGAAGGCCCCCATCCGGCTTGAGGGCCCTGTAGGGTTTAGGGTTTAGGGTTTGTAGGTTTAGGGCTTGGGGTTTAGGGTTTAGGGTCTAGGGTTTAGGATATAGGGTTTAGGATATAGGGTTTATGGTTTAGGGTTTAGGGTTTAGTGTGCGTCGAGCTACTTTGGGCGATCTTGGGCCTGCCAGGCATTGCGCGTACAGGTCACCGAGCGGAGAAGAAAGAGATTCTTGTTCCGTTTGTTTGTTTTTTTTGTTTTTTTTTTTGGGGGGGGGGGGGGGGGGGGGGGGGGGTGGGGGGTGGGGGCGGGCGGGGGGGGTTGAGGTTTTAGGGTTTGGGGTTTGCATTGGTGAACCCCCCTTGTGGCCCCCCTGAAATTCTCCAAAGCCCTCAAAACCCTCACGAAGTCTCTCTCAACTCCAGAACCTTCATGTGAGCCCGTTTGGGGCTGAGGGCTTATAGGGTTTAGGACCCCTGACTTGGGCTGCTCCCCCTTAGACTAACAGTTCTTAGTAGGAGTTCTAGTACTCCTACTACAATCCCCATGAAGGACTCTTAGTGTAGCGGGGAACATCCCGACCCGAAGTTTGGGCGTCAGAAGCCCCAGTAAAGTTTCGGGTTTAGGGTGTAGGGTTTAGGGTTTAGGGTTTAGGGCTACTGTTTAGGGTTTAGGGTTTTTAGGGTTGAGGGTTTCTTGGGGGAGCCACTGGCTGCCCAACACATGGCCCCTTTTGTCAGTGTTTCGGTGGATAGTGCTTTCGGGCTTTCGGGCTTCATGTGGTTAAGGGTGTTAGGGTGTTTAGGGTTTAGGGTGTTTAGGGTTTAGGGTGTTTAGGGTGTTTAGGGTTTAGGGCTCCAGGCTCTACTAGTAGGGATTGAGGCCGTTGTAGCCAGGGTTTAGGGTTTAGGGTTTAGGGTTTGAACCCTAAGCCCCGGCTGAGGTCACCCACTACAACGTCTTCTTCCGCCTGTGTCCGGGTGGCAACTACAGCGACGGCGCGCCTCGACACAAGAACCCCTACTTGAAAAAAAGAAGTGAGAAAGAAAGAGAGAGCATCATACCTGAAGGATGTTCCCCTTTATACATCGCTGCGAAAGAGCCGCAGAAGCATTTTAGAATAACCTAAAAGCTCTCAAGTGCCCGTAAATCCCTTCAATCTCTAGTTGCATGCATCGCCCCCCTCCCCCCAAAAACCCCTAATTCCCTAAACCCCCGAACCCTGAACCCCCCCCCCCCCCCTCCCAGACTGGAGACCACGAGTCGAGGTCGAGAGCGAGTACATCGTGCCCGTGTCCCCAGGCCTGGCCCGAACTTGGGGGGCAACTTCTAACGGGTGTGAGGGTGGGAGGGTCGAGGGGGGGGGGGGTTAGGGTGTGGAGTTCAGGGCTTAGGGTTAGCAACGTGCGTGACGTCTTTGCTGTTATGGTTTTTTTTGGTTGGGGAGGCGCGAAGAAGTGTTTAGGATGTTTTGTCGTTCGTGTCTTTATGTTAGGTCTATTAGGGTTTCGAGGGGCTTCTGGCTGTTTGTTCTGTCGTTAGGTTTTGTTCATCTGAAGCCTTGTGAGGGAGTGGAGGAAGAGAGTGCAGGAAGGGAGGGAGGGAGGGCGGGAGGGAGGGAAGTTTCCGATTCTCTAGATCCTAAGCCTAAACCCTAAACCCTAAATCCTAACCACCAAACCCCAAACCCCAAACCCCAAACCTCAAACCCTAAACCCTAAACCCTAAACCCTAAACCCTAAACCCTAAACTCTAAACCCTAAACCCTAAACCCTAAACCCTAAACCCTAAACCCTAAACCCTAAACCCTAAACCCTAAACCCTAAACCCTAAACCCTAAACCCTAAACCCTAAACCCTAAACCCTAGCCAGCCCTAAAACCGCTACCCGATAACCCATCATCCCTCCTCCCGAAGCACCTGGCCCGAAGTCCCAAGCTCCCCCCCCCAAACAAAAAACTCAAAGAAACTAGTAACACAAGAAAGAAGAAGAAGAAGAGGAAGAGGAAGAGGAAGAGGAAGAGTAATAATCTGAATAATAAAGCACACCTCAGACACTTGAAGGGCTTCGGGTTTAGGGCTCAGGGTTGCTTTGTTGTTTTTGTTAGGGCTTCGGGTTCATAGGGAAATGTTCGCAGCCGCTGTTTAAAAGCCCTGGGCACCCTGAACCGCTTTGAAGTTTTCACCCCTCCCTGCCCCAGCCGAAGGCGAGAATCAGCATGGCCTTGCTTTGAACGCAACGCCGCCCGCCATGCATTTGGGGTTTCGGGTTTGGGGTTTCGGGTTTGGGGTTTAGGGTTTGGGGTTTAGGGTTTAGGGTTTAGGGGTTCAGGATTCAGGGTCCCTAAACCTTACCACCCTGCCAAGCCCCAAGGCCAATCCACAGCCTTGAGCCCGAAAAGCCGAAAGCCCCAAAGCCCTGAACCAAATCCTGATTGGGTGTTGAGTAAGAGACAGCTCCATGGAGCTAACACCCCAAAGGAGGATTTCCACAAGAAACCCCCCAAAACAACTTAATATCAACTCCTTGGGATGTTCCACATTATAGTAACAGTCCTTATAAGTAGGGATGATAGTACCCCCTATTTCTAATGCTATTAAGGACTGCTAGTATACGGGGTACATCCCAAACAACCCCTCTTAATTTCAAAGGTTTGTGGTGTCTTCGTCCAGTTTTTGTACGGACTCTTTTTGCAAAGGTTCCTCAAGCCCATCCTACAGTTCGAGGGAGGGTTTAGGGGTTCGGGTTTTGGGCCTAGGGTCTCGGGTTTAGGGTTTAGGGTTTTAGGGCAAGGGTTTAGGAGCAGAGAACCCTAAGAGCGTGTTCTCTTGAAGGCTTTTGGCGCTTAGGTGTTCCCAGAGAGCCGCAGTTTTGTCCCCAAAATTAGGGCACCTTTTCCCGCAATAAGCCCTAAACTTTGAACGCTACTCTGTTCGTTTTGTGGGGGGAGGAAGGGGGATGATTGCTACAATTGAGGAATACAAGGGTTAGGCTCACATTTCGGGACATGCCCATATTTTCCAACGAAAGAGGATGCCCTGAAGGACATAAAGAATAGCCCATGCTCGAATTTCAAGAAAGCTGCTTAACTCCGGGTGGTATAGGTCAACCAAGGCCCAGAAAAGGCCTCAGGGGTCTTCCCTAAACTCCCCCCCCCTATACCCTAGACCCCAAACCCTAAACCCTAAACCCCCCAAGCAACCCTAAACCCCCAAACGCCCTAAACCCCCAGATCTCCCTCAAAGATGTGGACTTCGAGGGGTGTTTGCCCAGGGACTTAGGTCGAGGGTTGAGGGCTGGGAGGGAATTTCGGAGCGCCATATTCCTTGTTTTGCATACCGAAATCAGTCCGAGTCCGAACTCCCCTAAGCCCTAAACCCTAAGCCCTAAACCCTAAACCCTAGCCCTAAACCCTAAACCTCAAAACCCTAACCCTAAAACCCTAAACCCCCGAATCCCTATGTGGGCCGAGCTCACGAGGCTCCACTTTCGTGAGCCGGTGGTTGGTGCTGTTCCACAGCCCATCGTCGCAGTGCCTCGACTGGCTGCTGACTTAGGGTTTAGGGTTTAGGGTTTAGGGTTTAGGGTTTAGGGTTACCCCCAAGTCATCCAGGGGCCTTAATCGGGTTTTGGGGCTTAACATCGTACAATTCATCTAGGGGCCTCAATAGGGTTTGGGGGGCTTAATATAGGATTCAAACCCCTGAATGAAGGTGCATACCCTAATTCATAATCATGACCCCTAGTATAAGTTAGGGTTTCAGGTTCAAAGGTTAGAGTTGATTTTACCTCGCTACCCGAAACCCTAGACCCTATTTTGACGGTGGTGTCCGTTACCATTCGTCCCCCCTGATCTTTGTGGTACTTTACCGTAACTTTAGATCCTTACCTTTGTTGGGTTTATTGGGTTACTTAATAAGGCAGCTAAAAGTTTAATTTATAGCTACCCTCCTGAGTGCAGCCAAGTGATGCTGTTTCAAGAAAGAAGTCGGGTGCCGCCCTTCGGAGAGCTGTCCTATAGACTAGAACCCTCCCTGAAAACCAGCCTATCAGTTTCTACTCCTCCATAACTATATAGCCCCAAGCCTAAGCGCTAACGAACAAGGGGCAACCATTTGAGACCGTGAATGTCGGAAGCAACCCCAACATAAACCCTAAACCCCAAAACCCTAAACCCCAAACCCTAAACCATGTCGAGCTCGGCTGCATTCCGCCCTCTTCCTTTGGCTCTATGCGGCGAAGGGTGGGCTTCGGGGGTGGGGGGTGGGGGGTTGGGGTTTTGGGTCAGGTTCCACTCGCAACGAGGGTTTGGGTTTAGGGTTTCGGCCAGCTCAAAAACCTCATAAGGTCTTGTAGCTACAATACGGGTCACCCAACTTGTGGCCTGTCGATCCCGTGGTCTTTCCCTGTCAGAATTGCAGCAAAAGTAGGAGAGTAGGGAATTTCAAGGGGCATGTCGCGGATTGCCCATCTCTGCAGGGTCAGAGGGGGCTTTGTAGGGTTTGTAGGGTTTGCAGGGTTTGTAGGGTTTGTAGGGATTGTAGGGTTTGTAGGGTTTGAAGGGTTTGTAGGGTTTAAGGCTTAAGGTCGCAGGGCGTTGAAGCACTTTTTGCGTTCTTTGGAAGTGTCTTTCTTTCTGAGTCCCATCGATCATAGTTTGGAGTGGAGCGACATAGTGCTCTGGGCTCTGATGCCATGCTGCGTGTCTGGGCAGCTTCTGGGCAAGAGCTGGCGATAGACACGCAGGAGGTCAGCGACGTGCTGAGCTTGAAGCGGCTACTGCGCAGGTCCTATCATTTTCCGGTGTGCCTGCAGCAGCTATTACATGGAGTGAGTTGCTTGGACAACATGGCCCAGCTGGAGGCGCCTGCTGACCTGCAGCTGGTGTTGCTGAGAGTCTCCAGTGCGGCGCAGAGGCGCGACTCCCTGTGCGAGCTCGTGGACTACGCTGCCTTGCACGGCCACGTCGAGGTGGCGCGCTTTCTGGTGGAGGCAGGGACTGAGGCTTGGCAGCCCAGGATTACCCGCTTTTTTTTTGTTCCCTTTTTTTTTGGTTCAAGGTTCCTTTATGAAGTAACGAACCCAACAAAGGGTACCCTTGGTACAACATGGTTCCTGGGCTACCAAGGAGGTGGATTCCTTGGACTGCACGGGCATCGCGGCTCTCAGCTGCGCCGCGTCGAAGGGCCACGCCGAGATGGTGCGTCTTCTTCTGGCCGCCGGTGCCGACACTTGGCAGCCCAGTGCTACCCCCTTCCTTTTTTTCTTTTTTTGGGTTCATGGTTCCCTTATAAGTTTAACCACCCCCAAAAAAGTGGGTGCCCTTTGTTATAATATTAATATGGTTCCTCTTTTTTTTTTGGGTTCATGGTTCCCTTATAAGTTTAACCACGCCCAAAAAAAGTGGGTGCCCTTCTTATAATATGGTTGCTCCAAGGACAAGGATCTTCAAGACGGCTGTGGCATGACCGCCCTCAGCCACGCCTCCTTGCCCAGTGGTACCCTTTTTTCTTTTTTGTTTTTCTTGGTTCAAGGTTCCCTTATAAAATAACCAGCCCAAAAGAAGGTGCCCTTATTGTAATAATGGTTACTTGGCTACAAGGATATGAGCCTCTTAAGTATCCTAATAGGGCTATAATTTTCTTATAAGTGCAGTTATAATTGGGTTCCCAAGTCCTGGGCTACCAAGGCTTCCCTGAAGGGACATGTGGAGGTTGTATGCTTGCTGGCGCAAGCCGGTGCCGACACGGACTTGCAGGACACCGCGGGCATGACTGCTCTTAGCCTGGCGTCGATGGAAGGGCACACAAGGATCCTAGGTAGGCCCTTCTCGGGACATTTTTGCATCTTTTTCCTCGTCTTGGGGTTAAGAGGATCATATTCAGGAATACCCTAAACCCTCAAGCCTAAACCCTAAACCCTAAACCCTAAACCCTAAACCCTAAACCCTAAACCCTAAACCCTAAACCCTAAACCCTAAACCCCTAAACCCCTAAACCCTAAACCCTTCAAAGGGCCATCCGAGGATCGTGGAGGAGCTGCTGAAGGCCGGGGCCGACAAAGACCTGCAGGATCATCGTTTCGGCACGACGGCCCTGATCCATGCAGCTTCTGGGCTGGTTTAGGGTTTAGGGTTTAGGGTTTAGGGTTTGGGGTTTGGGGTTTGGGGTTTGGGGTTTGGGGTTTGGGGTTTAGGGTTTAGGGTTTAGGGTTTAGGGTTTAGGGTTTAGGGTTAGGGTTTAGGGTTTAGGGAGTTTAGGCGGTCTGGAGGGTTTAGTGGGTTTAGAGGGTTGAGGGGGTTAAGAGGGTTTTGGGGGTTTAGGGGCTAGAGGGCGTGGGGGGTTTAGGGGTTTAGGGGTTAGAGTGCATGGTTTCCAACAATGGGGTTGTGCAACAAGAGGGGGTGGTGGGGAGGCCCTACAATGAGAATGAGGACTCGGTTGTTTTGTGGATATATAATGAGCGGAACCCCCTATCTTGGACCCGGAATCCTACTTCTGTGGGGCTCTTTACAACTTCTTATGTAGGAACCCGGGAGGCACCCTAAACTCCCCCTTAACCTCCTAAAACTCCCTAATCCCCCAAAACCTACACCCTAAACCTCTCCTAGAAAACCCTAAACCCCCTAAACCTCCCGAAACCATACACCCTACACCCTACTTCAATCCGAAGGCTGCCCAGGGTCACCTCTTGGTGGCAGAGGCGCTCGTCAGGGCCGGGGCAAACAAGGACCTGAGGAACAGCTCGGGCATCTGGGTTTACCTTGGGGTTTTTTAGGGTTTTAGGGTTTAGGGTTTAGGGTTCGGTTTTTAAGTTAATGTTGACTTGCCTAAAACGCCAACAACTCAACAACAGGTCCTGGAACTCAATTCCAACCCCCCTTCACTTAAGAGGAAAACGCCAAGTTCTCAGAAACAAAACAAATGATGTCTCAAGACACCTGTCCAAACTGATTTATGCTTCAGCAGAGAGTGTCCCAAGAGGCTCACTTACACTACTATTTGCTTAAGAACCCGGGGGGCTCTTAAGCAAATAGTAGGACAGCATTCAGCTACAGAGGGCTCGTGGGTTTTTTTGAAATGAGAGGTTTAGGGTTTAGGGTTTAGGGTTTAGGGTTTAGGGTTTAGGGTTTAGGGTTTAGGGTTTAGGGTTTAGGGTTTAGGGTTTAACCACCAGACAAAGGCCCATGAAGAGGCTTAGAAGAGGCCCAGAAGAGGCCAGCCCTTTTGAAAACACTCGGGCCGTCCCCAAACAAGAGCTACAGCCCCCCTTGGAAGCCAACCCCTCTGCATTTTTCGTGGCCTCCTGCCGGAGAGATTGAATCAATCTGGGGGCCGGGGGGGGGGGGGGATTCTACTGTTTGCTGAAGAGCCCCTCCCCAAAAATCTAAAATAGGAATCCCTAAATCTCCCTTAGAAGGAAGAATGTGTTTATGTTTGGGAGGGCTCTGAAGCAATTTGTAGGTGATTTTTGGCAAGCCAACATTACATCAGGTTGAGGGTTTAGGCTTCGGCGTGTTCTTTTCCCTCAAACATATTTTTCAAGGAGATTCCTCAGGAAGAAGTTGCATTTTCAGGGTAAGCCCTAAACCCTAAACCCTAAACCCTAAACCTGCATTTTCAAAGGGTTTGGAGAAGCCAACCTAGGCATCACTGCTCTTGCACACGCGGCGAATGCGGGACGCGCAGAGATGGCGCGACTGCTCCTGGAAGCAGGTGGGGGGTTTACGATGTGAGGGGGTGCCCTTACAGGGGTTTAGGGTTTAGGGTTTAGGGTTCAGGGTTGCGGGTTTAGGGTTAATTAAGGGTTGCGGGTTTAGGGTACCTTCTTGGGGTCTCTTTTGTAAGGGGGATCCTACAATTTCGGGGTCTACGTTAGGGTCCATCTCTATCGTAAAGCCCCCAGGTGCGGACAAGGATCTGCGAGCCTTCTCCGGCGCGACGCCGCTTCTCCTCGCATCTTCCAAGGCTTGCTAGCCCGGTGGTACGCTTTTAGGGTTTAGGGTTTAGGGTTTGGGGTTTGGGGTTTAGGGTTTAGGGCTAGTGGTAGCCCAGTGGTACCCTCTACCCCCTTTTTTTGTTGGTTCTGGGTTTCCTTAAAAGTAACCAGCCCAAAAAAGGCTGCCATTACTATAATAATCATTATTGTTTTGTTTTATTAGTAATATTAATATTTGTATTATTTTTACAAGTATTATTATTATTGCTACTGGGCTACCACGAAGGGGCACGTGGAGATCGTCCGCTTGCTGCTGGGCGCCGGCGCTGACATGGACGTGGAAGACCGCCTCGACGGCACGACCGCCCTGCACCAGGCCGTGGCGCAACGAGGCAGGCCCTTGGGAGATTTTCGTATTTCCCCTTCTTGGGTTTACAAGAGGGTCATCTTCAGGGAACCTTGGGTTACGTACCCCCCTGAGCCCTAAACCCTAAACCCCTAAGCTTTTTGTCAGAGGGTTTCTTTTAAGGGCCATCCTAGGCACGGCCACGTGGCGGTCGCGCGCCTGCTCGTTGAGGCAGGCGCCGGCGTGGACGTGAAGGACTCAAAGGACGAAAGGAGGGACCCTAGGGGTTTAGGGTTTAGGGTTTAGGGTTTAGGGTTTAGGGTTTAGGGTTGTTCCATGAAAGGACTACAGGTGGGGCCCATTTTTCAGGGACCTTAGGGGTTGTTTGGGGGGCTACGTACTACAGGAGGGACCCGTTTTAAGGGACTCTAGGGGTTATTTGGGGGGCTACTTACTAACGGAGGGAGGCTTCTTTAAAGGGACCTTAGGGGGTTACTTGGGGGGCTTAGGTATCTAGGGACTCTACAAGGTATGTATATAGGGAGTGTATCGTGGAAGAAGTTTAAGGGCCCCTCCTATAGGGGCCTCCTTAAACCCCCTTAAAGGACTGCATGGACGGCATGGCGGTCCTCAGCCGCGCATCCTCCGATGGCCAGGTGGGGGTTTCACGAAATTGGGGATTTTCAACAGAGATCCGATCCCCAAAGAGTAGGATTCCCTTATATCAATGACCTCAATAAGGTACCCCTACCTTCGGAGACCTTCAGGTTACCCTAAACCCTAAAGCCTAAACCCTACACCCTAAACCCTAAACCCTAAACCCTAAACCCTAAACCCTAAACCCTAAACCCTAAACCCTAAACCCTAAACCCTAAACCCCCCCAGGTTGCCATGGTCCGTCTCCTCTTAGAGGCAAGAGCCGAAGTTGACTCTCGGGACCGCCATGGCTGCACGGCCCTCATGAAAGCCTCACAGAATCTTGCTAGGGTTTAGGGTTTAGGGTTTAGGGTTTAGGGTTTAGGGTTTAGGGTTTAGGGCTTAGGGTTTAGGGTTTAGGGTTTAGGGTTTAGGGTTCCCTTGGGAATTGTTTTTCGTCTTTTTGCTTATATAAAACCCAAGAGGATAGTAAACGTATTATGCTCATTAAGGTTCTAAGGGGAGTATAGTCTTGGGGAAGAACCAAAGAAAGCAAGCCCCAAAGTACCATTTGCTTAAGAAGCCCCCCCCCCCTCCAAGGAACAAAAGATATCATTCCTTATAAGGGCAGTATAGGGATTATTATTTGGTGTTTTTCGGGGGTTCTTAAGAAAATGGTTGTAAAAAACTGTGATCATGATACCCTATTTAATCCCTATAGTTCTGAAGGCCTTGGGAGGAACCAAAAGGAACCCCTAAAATTGGGATCATTATACCCTCTATAATCCCCTATGAGCGCGAAGATGAACCCTAAAGTTGGGATCGCATACCGAAATACCCCTAGAATCCCTATGCATAAAGGCTGCTGTGAACCCTAACACCCCCCCCCCCCCCTAAAAAACCCTAAACCCCAAACCCTAACCCTAACCCCCCCCCCCCCCTAAAACCCTAAAACCTAAACCCAAATCCCAAACCCCAACCCTAAACCCCAACCCCCCCCCCCCCCCCCCTTTTCTTTCAATTTTGGTCCCCCCATGTGCAAGGAACGGCCATGCCAAAGTCGCACGGCTGCTGCTGGAGGCGGGCGCGAAGGACTGGCAGTCGCAGGACGGCCCGACGGCCCCCAGCTGTGCCCTCAGCCAAGGCCAAACTGGGTAGCTCTCGAAACTAGGGCCATTTTCTGGGGGGTCCTTATATTATAAGAGTGCCGTACTCTACATACATAAATAATAAATAAATACAGAAATATAAATAAATATAAATATATATATATATACGTATACATATATATATATACACATATAGTATATGTACAGGACCCCAAAAGAGGACCCTAGTATAGAGAAGTACTCACCTGGAGATCGCGCCATTGCTCGACGCTGATGGCTGCGCCGGCCTCATCGACCTCCCCTGAAAACCCAACCCCTGAACCCTAAACCCATGAAGGCCCCTATGAAGGAAAACAGGGTGCCCTTATGAGAAGATGGTTCTTGGGCCACCAAAGAGGCTTCAGTCGCCAAGGCCATGCTTGGCTTTGCTGGGTTCCAAGGTGGCCCAAAGCGCCTCCCCTCAGCACCACTAGGATGAACCCGAGGATGCCCAGTAGGGTTTAGGGTTTAGGGTTTAGGGTTTAGGGTTTAGGGTTCAGGGTTTAGGGTTTAGGGTTTAGGGTTTCTTGCGGGGGTTGGCTCCCTTATAAACCCCCTTCTTAAGCCAACAAAAACAAGAGTGCACCCTTGTTAAATCCTAGGTTACTGGGCATCCCTGACCCATGGCATCCCTCCGCTGTTTCAGGGTGCTCGCATCCTAACTGAGCCCGTTGGGTTCGTGCGTAGTTCACAAATCGACGCCTTGCGGCTCTGCTGCGTCAGAAATGCAGAGTTTGGACCATCCTAAAATTCAAGGCTCCCCATGTAGCACCTTTTTTGGTGTAGTGTACTATACCCCCCCCACAACTAGCCCGACAAGGAGCTAGATTGGAGCCTTCAGGTTTGGGGGTCGACAACCCTAAACCCTAAACCCTAAACCCTAAACCCTAAACCCTAAACCCGCCCAATCCTAAATCCTAAACCCTAAACCCTAAAGTCTAAGTTCTTCCAAGCCCTCGGGCCCCTACTCAAGCCGGGGCCTAGAGGAACCCCAGCAGGGAAGTGCTGGGCCTGCGGGAAGTGCTGAGGGTTTAGGGTTTAGGGTTCAGGGTTGAAGACCTACTTGTTCTTAGACAGGGAATTGGTGCCCTGTACATGCATTATCCTTTGCAGAAGCTCAATTTTTTTTTTTTTGGGGGGGGGGGCGAGTAAAGGGTGCAGTACCCTGTTCGACTATTCTCTACTAAGAACCAGGCCCGAAACGCGTGACAAAAGCACCAACCTGCAGGGTTTCCGGTTTAGTTCCGGTTTGGGGGGGGGGGGTTCGGGTTTTGAAATTTAAGGGCCCTTGACATGGGAGTCCCTGAAGGCCAGAGGCGCAGGCTCCACACCCAAAAAAACCTTGCAGCTACTGTTCAGGGTTGAGGGACTAGGGTTTAGGGCTTCGGGCTTAGGGCTTAGGGGGCTTAGGGGGCTTAGGGGGCTTAAGGGGCTTAGGGGGCTTAGGGGGCTTAGGGGGCTTAGGGGGCTTAGGGGGCTTAGGGGGCTTAGGGGGCTTAGGGGGCTTAGGGGGCTTAGGGTTTAGGGGTTAGGGTTTACAGGGTTTAGGGTTTATAGGGTTTAGGGTGTCTTCCCCGTATGGCCACTCTCCGACAGCCCGACAACTGCTTCTTTTGTGTAGGCTGCTTTTTCCCCAACCTCCTTGGAAAGGAACTTTCTGTCAGTGGGCAGTTCTCCGTGAAACAAGCGCAGATTCTGAGGCGTTCAAGGCCCTGAGCCCTAGACCCTGCGAAGTTGTATTATCACAAAATATCATTAAACATATTATCAAAGTTACATTATTTCAGTTTAATTCAATTCAAACATTCATGTTCAAATATGAATAGAGAACGCATATTAATCAATTATCATTCATTAAATATTTAGGATTTAAAAGAATGAAATGGTGATGATATTCATTTGGGAAAGCAATTATTAAGAATTTTCATGTTTACTTTTATGAAAAAAAGACGCAAAAACATGAAAAAAACAAACACAAAATGCATAAACATTTAAAGACACAATTTAACTTCATATTTTGTCAATAAAAATGATATTCCTTTTGTTATATAAATACATGTAAAAATGATATATTCATTTGATAAGATACGGATATTACACCCCAATATAGGCCCTAAACCACTGCGCTGATTCACCCTGAACAGCATAACCCTAAAGCCCAACCCCTGAACCCCTAAACCCCTTGACCCCTAACCCTCAACCCCAAACCCAAAACCCCCCGAATCCCAAGGCTACCCGATATTGCATCGTGGTGCTAGCCACCAACTCGGCGGCCACCGGGCGCAGGGACATCGCCACAGAGTTGCTTGGCTCTTCTTCTGGCTGGCTCTTAGATTTAGGGTTTAGGTTTAGGGTTTTGGGTTTAGGGTTTTGGGTTACAAACTTTTTTGGGTTTTTGTAGAAATTGCACTAAGGAGCCTAATAGTTAAACTTGTAGGAGGGGTTCAGAAGCCAGCAAGTATATAGCACCTGGGCCGAAAACTTGCCTTTGACCTTTTGGGCGGTTCAGGGTGTAGGGAAGATTGGGGTATTTTGGGTAAAGGGTTCAGGGAAGATAGGGGTATTTGAGGGTTCAGGGTTTAGGGAAGATTGGGGGTATTTTAGGTTCAGGGTTTGAAGATTGGGGGGTCCCCCTAGTCTCATCCCCTAGTATCAAGATTGTTGAGAGCTTTCGGCCCCAAAGCAGGTGGGGTTCGGGGGTGAGGATGGGAAGGCAGGTTTGTTTAACCTCTACTTGGGTTTGGGGTTTCAGCTCTTAGGTACCCAAGTATACAATCTGTTTGCACATCCCCACCAAGTCATGGCAGGGTTCCAGGGAGCCCGGCTTCCTCTCCGGATCTCCAAAGCATACGCGCGGGACTCGCAAAAGCTAAACGCCAAACCCTCGCACCCGAGCCCGCAAAACCTTAAACCCTTAGACCCTAAACCCTATACCCCAAACCCTCAACCCTCAACCCTTCAACCCTTAAACCCTTAAACCTGTAGACCCCAGACCCGATACCCCAAGCCCCCTAAACCCTCAACCCTGAAACCCTTGCAAGCCCTCACAAAGCTCAAAACCCTGAAGCCATTGAGTCGCTAGACCACAAGTCCCTTAAACCCGAAGACCAGGCTTAGGGTTTGGGGTTTAGGGTTTAGAGTTTTGGGGTTTAGGGTTTAGGGTTTAGGGGTTTCGGGCTTAGGGTTTCGGGATTTGTAGATGCTCAAAGGACTGAAGCCTCTGTACACTGCACCCTACGGCCTGAAGGGGTTTAGGGTTTAGGGTTTAGGGTTTAGGGTTTAGGCTTGACAGAGCCTTTGTGCATCCGAGGTTTGTGTGGGTGACCGACGTCTTCCCTCCAAAGGCACGGGAGCATCTGTGGCTGAATCCCCTAAACCCTAAACCCTAAACCCTAAACCCTAAACCCTAAACCCTAAACCCTAAACCCTAAACCTTGTGAACCTCACAGGGGCAGCCGAGTCTTTTGCGGGGTTCCGGTCCCTTCTGCACTCCCAAGAAGCTGCCAGGGACCCCTGCCTTATGTTCCTAGTCAGGGTTTGGGGTTTAGGGTTTAGGGTTTGGGGTTTGGGGTTTGGGGTTTGGGTTGAGGGTTTAGGGTGTAGGGTGTGTTGGGTGTGTAGGGTGTTTAGGGTGTAGGTTTTAGGGCTTAGGGTTTCCGGGGAACGCCTAGTTGTAAATAGACAAAAGATGGGAAAGTTTGGAGGCTTGCAATGCTGTTTCGATGCCTTCGCCGGAAACACAGGTTGAAGGGTAGCACTTCAGCAGGCGGCAAATATACCCTAAACCCTAACCCTAAACCCTACGCCGCAATTGGGGTTGCAATGCTGCGGCACGTTTGGGGTGAAGCAGATACAGAGGACGCTTCGGCAGAAGTGGCGACTATTTTCTGCCATGACTCACCCTCGCTTGGGCAATGCCTACCGGGCGCCGAATCCTGCAGGGAGGCTTAAGAAAGGTAGGGGATGTTGCAAACACAAGGTTGGCGATGATTCTTGCGATGATGCATCTCTTGCCGTGGAAACGGGTTCTGTTCAGGCTTTCTGAAGAGGCAGGGAGCCCTTAATCCAACCCCAAGCCCTAAACCGCAAGCCCTAAATCCTAAACCCCAAACCCCAAACCCTGAACCCTAAACCCTGAACCCTAAACCCCAAACCCCAAACCCCAAGACCTCGACTCTAGGGACCTCGATCCCGAAAGCCTGTAGGGTTTAGGGTCGAGGGTTGAAGGTTGAACCCTAAACCCTAAACCCTAAACCCTAAACCCTAAACCCTAAACCCTAACCCCCAACCCCTAAACCCGAAACCCTAAACCCTAACTCCGACTTGCTGTTGGCCCTGGGCAGGACTTGGCCTACCCGGACCCACCCCTGTACTTGGTGAAGGACGCGGGTGTGGTTTGTTAGGCGTCAGACGAGGCCGTTTAGGGTTTAGGGTTTAGGGTTCAGGGTTCAGGGTTCAGGGTTCAGGGTTTAGGGTTTAGGGTTTAGGGTTTAGGGTTTAGGGTTTAGGGATGTTCAAAACCGAAACAGAAACTGGGTTAGGCTTGAGGATGGAGGAATGCCCAAGCCCACCTGAACCCGCAACCCAGAATGGCACCGCCTTTGCAATTTGCGCTAGAAAGTTGGCTGGGGTGCTCTAGACCCCTCCAAAACCCTGTGAAACCCTCTGAGCTCTCGCAGCCCGATTGAACCAAAGCCACAAGCTACCATTGAGTGAGATGACAATTTAAATATTGACGATTGTCAAACCGTGTCCCTTGCAAAGGACAAGCAAACTCAAAGCATCCAAACTAAAAAGAAGCAAGGACATGATCGTCATAGAAAGGAAGAGCAGCACAGCGCATGAATAGGAAGGGTAGTCTTAGTAAAAGCCGTAAAAAGCCCCAAACCCTAACCCCAAACCCTAAACCCAAAACCCCAAACCCCAAACCCTAAACCTTCAACCCTAAACCCCAAACCCTAAACCCCAAACCCTAAGCCCTAAACGCCAAATAGCCGCAATCCCCAAGCCCTGAACCCTAAACCCAAAACCCTACACCCCAAACCCTAAACCCTAAACCCTAAACCCTAAACCCTAAACCCTAAACCCTAAACGTCCACAGGACCAGCCCATGGCGCCGATGTCGCCAACCGTAACGACGGCCGAGTGCAGCAGCCTGAAGTCGGCCCGGAGCCCGTCTTTTGGGTTTAGGGTTTAGGGTTTAGGGTTTAGGGCTTAGGCTTTAGGGTTTAGGGTTTAGCTGTGTGTGTGTGTGTAAAGGGTTTAGGGTTTAGGGTTTGGGGTTTCGGGTTTAGGATTTACTAGGGTGAAGGGTTTCCACTGGCACGGCTTTAGAATGGGGGTTTACGTGTTTAGGGGTACCCTTTTGGGTCCCTTTTCCCAGGGGATCCTACTATTTGAAAGGATCTATTTTAGGGTCCCCTATTTTCGTAAACCCCCAATGGGTCCAGGGCCGTAAGGTTTGGATCGCAGGATTATTCACGGCTTTTGCCATCGACGCCAGGGCAGCTGTCGTGACAGACGATTATGTACCGGGGGTATGCATTGAAGCATACCAGACCCTTAAACCCCGAATCCTGAAACTCGCCCCGGTTAAGAAGCCCTCCCAGAGACCTAAGCCCTCCCTCGCAAGCTTAGGGTGTGGGGTTCAGGGTTTACGGTTGAGGGGTGAGGGTGTAGGATTTAGTGTTTAGGGTTATAGGGGTTTACAGGGTTTGGGGTCCACAGAGTTTATAGGACTTAGGGTTCAGGGTTTAGGTTTTATAAGGTATTTTGATGGTTTTCCCCTTTTGTGGAGGCAAAGTCGCCCTCTTGTTTTGCGGAGTGCAGCAGCTGACGCCGAAACCCTAAACCCCGAGGACCCGGAGTAGGCCCTCATTCCCTTTCTTTAGGGTTTAGGGCCCATTAAGAAATCCCCTAGGTTGCTCTTGGGTCTGAGCCCGACTCAGGTCGCCAACACGGTGCCCCAGTACAACGCCTCCGACTGTCCGGGCCTGGACGCGTGCGTCGTCTTTTGGGTTTACAGGGTCTAGGTTGGGATGTTCCCACTTATACTAACACGATGTGCCCAGGTTTGGTGCAGAACTACGACATCCAGCCGCCGCTGCCGCATCTTCGATGGCAAAGTCGGAGTCGGGGGTTTGCTTGGGATGTGAGGGTTTCCGAAAATAGGGGGACCCCTTATATAGACCCCCAATAGTGGGATCCCCTTATAATAAGGACCCCCATAAGGTGCCCCTAATATCGTAAACCCCCATGTTCCCCTTTCTACTAACAGTCCTCAATCCGGATTCTAGTACCCCCTCCCCCTATTATCATCCTTGTGAAGGACTGTTGGTATAAGGGGGAACATCCCAAGGTTTAGGGTTTGAGGGTTTAGTGCATTACGTACGATGCAGAGAGAGGGGTTTGGGGAAGTAGGGCACTTTGTAGGCAACTAATGGGTTTTAATATAAAGGGCTTTATGGGTCTTGAGGGTTTCAAGGGCTTTAAGGGCTTAAGGGTTTAGGACATTGGTTTTGGAGAGTAGGCTTTGGGGAACTAGGGCACCTTTTGTAGGCAGCTAGTGGAACAGGATTTTTTTTCTGTTTACGGTTCACCCCTAAGCTAGTGCAGCTCCCCATTTCAGATTCAAATCCAGAAGTTGGGATGAGGAGTTCCTCGATACCCCAAGAAACCCAAAACCCCTAAACCCTAAAGCCCAACACTTCAACCCTAAGTCCTCAACCCCTAAACCCGAAACCCCCAAACCCCTGAACCCTAAACCCCTTTAGGCTAAACCCCCCATAAACTCCCAAACCCCAAACCTTGCAATGTTCCCTCTTTACACTACCAGTGTTTAATAGTCATTACAGTACCCCCTACTAGAATCTAGTGTCTCCATTAAGGACTGTTAGTACAAGGGGGAACATCCCTAAACCCTAGACCCTAGACCCTAAACCCTAAACCCGAAACCCTATGCTGGCGGGTGGGTTCGTTGGTACGCCCAGGGCGGGGCTCTCCTTGGATGCGAAGCAACCTGGCTTAGGGTTTAGGGTTTAGGGTTTAGGGTTTGGGGTTTGGGGTTTGGGGTTTGGGGTTTGGGGTTTGGGGTTTGGGGTTTGGGGGTTTGGGGCTTATGGTTTGGGGTTTGGGGTTTATGTTATAGGGTTTAGGGTGTAGGGTGTGGGGTTTAGGGGGACTGCACCCTGGTGAACTATGTTCTCAAGGGCCGCACGTGCATATTGTTGTTTGAGATGTTTTTATTGTTGTTTGAGACGTTAAAAAGGGAGGGTTAGGGTGGTGGGTTTGGAATGAGGGTTCTGGGTTTTTCTAGGCTTGGAGTTCGGGGGTTTAGGGTTTAGGATTTTCTTCAGGTGCCCCCGTCGCTGACTCTTCTTTTCATCACGCACTGTCGATAATTTTTGCTTTGTTTGTCCATCCCTTCTTAGTTTTGCATAGAATCAACTATATGTTCGGGGCGGTTCGGGGTAGGCACAGTCCACTAAACCCTAAACCCTAAACCTTAAACCCTAAACCCTAAAAGGGATTTCTTTTCAGGTGTGAGGGTGCCCAGAGCTTCAGGTTAGGACTTTAGCACGTCGGAGCGTTGAGGCTGTAGTGTTCTTCGATACTTGGTAACCCTCTACACCCTGAACCCTGAACCCTAAACCCTAAACCCGAAACCCGAAACCCGAAACCCGAAACCCTAAACCCTAAACCCTAAACCCTAAACCCTAAACCCTACCAGCCCCCACCCAGGACAGGGGTCATCTCGGGCACGCCGACGGAGCTGCTGCCGCGCCCGGAGGCTCGCCCGGGTCGAACGTTTAGGGGCTTATATAGGGTTTAGGGTTTTGGGGTTAGGATTTAGGGTTTAGGGTTTAAGGGATTGGGTTTGGGGTTTGGGGTTTAGGGTTTAGGGTTGGGGGTTTGGGGTTTGGGGTTTAATTCGGATTTAGGGTTGGGGGATGACTTTAGGGTTGAGGGTAAGTCTCATTTAGGTCTTTCAGGCTTAAAGTTTCCAAAGGGTTTAGAGATGTAGCATGATGCAAATTTAGACTTACTCGATATTTGGGATCCTTAAACGCTAAACGCTACGCATTACAAGCCCGAAATCCTACGTCGTTTTTCCGGGGAACCCCTATAGATCCCAAATATCTGGAACCCCCCGCCCCTCCCTCCCCCCTTCCCAGGTACCCCGATTTTGCGACGCTCCCCCCCCCCCCCCCCCCCGCCCCAAACCCTAAACCCCAAACCCCAAACCCCAAACCCCAAACCCAAAACCCTAAACCCTAAACCCAAAACCTAAACCCAAGACCTAAACCCTAAACCCCAAACCCTAAACCCCAAACCCCAAACCGTAAACCCTAAACCCCAAACCCCAAACCCAAAACCCTAAACCCTAAACCCCAAACCCCAAACCCAAAACCCAAAACCCAAAATCTAAACCCTAAACCCCAAACCCTAAACCCCAAACCCCAAACCCTAAACCCTAAACCCCAAACCCTAAACCCTAAACCCTAAACCCCAAACCCCAAACCCTAAACCCTAAACCCTAACTAAATCCCAAAGCGTTGAAGCTCGGGCCGCTCAGGTTTTCCTGGTCACGGCCACGAACGGAGGCCGCTGCTGAGGGTTTGGAGTTGAGGGCTGGGATGTTCCCCCTAGCGTTTAGGGTTTAGGGTTTAGGGGTTAGGGTTCCCCCTTCTACTAACAGTCCTTAAGAGGGATTCTAGTACTCCCCTATGATCATCCCTTCTATGGACTGTTATATACTAACAGCCCTTAATTGGGGTTACAGTACCCCCCCTATGAGGACTGTTAGTACAAGGGGGAACATTCCCGAGCTGAGGGCCCTTGCAAGCGGAGAAGGGTTCAGGGTTTAGGGTTTAGGGTTCAGGGTTTAGGGTTTAGGGTTTAGGGTTCAAGGTTGAGTCAGATTGCCGTAGCCCTCAGAAGGTTCCCAAAACACCTTGCCGGTCCGGTGTTGAGCGGGTTTTAACAAATATTTGCTCAAGAACCCCCCAAAAATATGAAATAATAATTCGTATATTACCCCCAGAAGGAAAATTCTGGACATTTTTTGGGGGGGTTCTTAAGCAATTCAAAGTTACGGGTGCACGTGCTTGAGCCGGAGGTCGGCCGTGTTGACATGCACACAGACAGTTTTAGACACTGAGACGCACAGGCGAAAGTTGGGGTACCTTATTGGGCTCCTCAGTATAAGGGGATCCTACTATTTGGGGGATCTCCATTTCAGGTCCCCTGTTTTCGTACCCCCACTTATCTGTCTATCAAACCCTAACCCTAAACCCTAAACCCTAAACCCTAAACCCTAAACCCTAAACCCTAAACCCTAAACCCTAAACCCTAAACCCTAAACAGATGGGTTTTGGGTTCAGAGCTGGTAGCCTTCATCCGTGTCCTCGGTCGGCTTGGGGCTCAGAAAGCCATGAGGCCCTAGAGCGTCATGTCGGTTTCCATTAAGGTGTGCCTGATCAGCGGCTTGGTAGCCCAGAGGTACACATTTCCCCTTTTTTTTTTGGTTCAAGGTTCCTTTTATAAAGGAACCAACACAGAAAAAAGGGTACCCTCATTATGACATGCCTACTGGGCTACCGAGGCGGCCGAGCAGTATCTTTGGAAGCCGAGCCGGATGCTTCCATTCAGTCACTGAAGCAACGCGCGCAGAGCGCGCTGGGCGTTGGCAATGGAAGGCTGCTGACCAGCCGCGGAGACGTCGTGGATGTACCCGGGGGACGAAATGAGCCCTAAAAGGGCTTCTGGCTCATGTACTTGAATAGGGTTCTAGTAGTGTAGGGCATATGACCCCCCCAATTTTCGGGGTCATATGGTACCCAAGGTAGCAACCACAGTGGGGAGAGCGGGGCTCCTGAGCGGCGAGGTGCTGACCCTGCAGGTAAGTCAGGTCCAAGTCACAGCGACACGCAAATCTCAGCTCTACGATGCTGGGTCCGCCTTTGCGGCGATTTTGGGAGACGGGTCTGTGAGGACGTGGGGAAACCCTTGTTTTGGAGGCAAAAGCGATTTGGTGCAAGATCGGCTAAGAGATGTGCAGCAGATTCAAGCTTCCAGCAGTGCTTTTGCTGCGATCCTTGCCGATGGTTCTGTGGTGACCTGGGGTCATGCTGACTTTGGTGGCGACAGCAGTGCTGTGCAAGATCGGCTGAAGAACGTCCAACAGATCCAGGCTTCCTCCGGGGCTTTTGCAGCCATCTTGGCTGATGGATCCGTGGTAACCTGGGGTGATCCTCTTGAAGGCGGCGACAGCGTCGGCGTGCAGGATCTGCTGCGACATGTGCAGCAGATCCAAGCATCTTGCGGTGCTTTTGCCGCGATCCTGGCCGATGGCTCGGTGGTGACATGGGGCGATGTACGCTACGGCGGCGACAGCAGTGCTGTGCAAGATCGGCTGAAGGACGTTCAGCAAATCCAGGCATCTTTCGGCGCGTTTGCTGCGATCCTGGTGGATGGGTCTGTCGTCGCGTGGGGTCCACGCCTCTTTGGTGGCGAGTACAGTGCCTAGGACCCGGAGTAGGCCCTTGTTTCTTTTTTTTTTAGGACTTTTAGGGTTGGGCTTCCCTTATAGTCCCCTCAAAACCAAAAAGTACCCTTTTATTCCTAGGTTAACCCTAAACCCTAAACCTTAAACCCTAAACCCTAAACCCTAAACCCCTTTTTATTCCTAGGTTACTCCTGGGTCTAGGTGCAGTGCAAGATCAGCTCTCCCAAGTGCGGGAGATCCAGGTGGCCTTGGGGACCAAATGAACCCTAAAATCGGGGGTCACATGCCCTAGTAGTAGTACTACTACTACTACTACTACTACTACTACTACTACTACTACTACTACAACTACTACTACTACTACTACTACTACTACTACTACTACTACTACTACTACTACTACTACTACTACTACACTACTACTACTACTACTACTACTACTACTACTACTACTACTACTACTACTACTACTACTACTACTACTACTACTACTACTACTACTCCTACTACTACTACTACTACTACTACTACTACTACTACTACTACTACTACTACTACTACTACTACTACTACTACTACTACTACTACTACTACTACTACTACTACTTGGTAGCCCAGTGGTACCCTTTGCCCTTTTTTTGGGTTCCGGTTACCTTATAAAATAGCCAACCCCAAAAAAGGGTGCCCTTATCAAGATATGGTTACTGGGGTACCATGACTAGAATCCCTGCTAAAGTACATGAACCTACCCTGTACTACTGTAATCCCTACCAGAAGCCCTTTTAGGGTTCATGCTCATGTCGTCCTTGAGGTGACGGTTGCTGCGTTTGCTGCGCTCCGCGGCGACGGATCCGTGGTGACGTGGGGGGGTGAGGCAGTCGCTGCCAAGAGCAGCGAGGTGCGAGATCAACTGCACAAGGTGAAGCACGTCCAAGCTTCTTATGACGCATTTGCTGCAATCCTGGCCGATGGGTCGGTGGTGACGTGGGGCGATGTGCGCTACGGTGGCGACAGCAGTGCTGTGCAAGATCGGCTGAAGGACGTTCGGCAAATCCAGGCTTCTTGGTAGCCCAGTGGTACCCATTTTCGTTTTTTTTCGGTTCAAGGTTCCCTTATAAGGTAACCCCAACAAAGGGGTACCCTTATTATAACATATTATAGCATGGTTACTGGGCTACCAAGGCTTCTTACGGCGCTTTTGCTGCGATCCTGGCAGATGGATCTGTGGTGTCATGGGGAGGTAGTCACTTTGGTGGCAGCAGCAGTGCCGTTCGTGGTGAGCTCGTGCAGGTGCAGCAGATCCAAGCCACGAATGGTGCTTTTGCTGCACTCTTGCTTGACGGATCCGTGGTGACGTGGGGTGACGCCTTACGCGGCGGCGACAGCCGCACTGTGCAAGATCAGCTGAAGGGCGTGCGGCAGATTTACGCTTCTTGCAACAGCTTCACTGCCATCCTGGGAGACGGTTCTCTGGTGACCTGGGGCTGTTCAACCAAAGTCCAATCCGCATGAAACCAGGGAAATTCCATCCGCGCACGATCTTTCGACCGTCCTCCACAGCCGTGGACTCTGCCCTAGGCCACAAAAACCCTCAACCCTTAAATCTCAAAACCCCATTGTCCAGACCAGGCTTTCTGCTTTCGACGTCGGGGTTTTATCTTGGGGAGAACTTGCTGGCGGGGGGGAGGGGGCGCATCCCCACACAGGGGGCAGGTTTAAGGGCTTCACAATTTTTTTGGGGGTTTCCTTTTGGATACTAACTTACATCGCGGTAGGCGTGTGTTTAAAATGCAGGGGCACATCTCAGGCCCCCCAGTCCTCAACACGCTACGTAGTCATCCCAGGCTCTACCTTGGTTGTGGAGTCGGCACCCGGCACCCGAAATCTTGAACCCCCCCAAGGAGCCCAATATCCCTTAAGTAGGGAATATCGCGCAAGTTATCTAGGGATCCTTAATATGACTTAAAGGAGATTTAAGGTATATTGCTTAATTAAGGGGTATTGGGGTCTTTGGGCCTAACCCCGAAACTTCTAAACTCGCCTCGACTTGCCTTCAACCTCCGAGACTCAAGAATCCCCCAAAAGAATCAACAAATGAGTAATCTCTCTATTTCCCTTAATGAGGAAGAATATTTTTTGGGTTCTTAAGCAATTAGTAGATTAACCCTAAACCCTAAACCCTAAACCCTAAACCCCAAACCCTAAACCCTAAACCCTAAACCCCATGACGCTAAAACCCTAAAGCCTTTACAGCAGAAAGTTCACCACCCTTTGGGCTTGCCGTGGTCACCCTGAACCCCGAACCCAACCCAGACCCCAAATTGTATGGTTTTTGGGTTTGGGGTTTAGGGTTTGGGTTTAGGGTTTGGGGTTTAGGGTTTAGGGTTTAGGGTTTAGGGTTTGGGGTTTGGGGTTTAGGGTTTGGGGCTTCTGGGAAGGGTCTCTTGGGTCTAGAGTCTGGGCTGCTTTCGGGGCTCGGGGGCTTAAGGTGTAGGCCTTAGGGCTTGGGGTTTAGGGTTTAGGGTTTAGGGTTTAGGGTTTAGGGTGAGGTGGTCGGCGTATGGTTAGCCCTGAGCCCTAAGCTCGAATTAGGCCTTAGACCCCACTTACTCCAGCAAAGCCGGAACCCGAAAAGACCCTGAGCCCTGAAACCAAAAACCGCAAAACGAGCTGCTTAGGGGCCCCTGCAGGAGGCGCATATGCTCAGGGTTTAGAATTCAAGAAGAGAGCATGAACAGCCCTGAGCCATACGAAAGCCGTCTAGTTTTATAGTTCAAAGGCTAAACCCTTAATAATACTAAGTACCATGAACCTCCAAGTGATCCTATGGGCCTCCAGCCTGCAGCCTTACAAACCCTGAAGCCCCAAAGCCTTGTGAGCTCTAAATGCTTCAGGGCCTCAGGTTTATCTACACCCTAAAACCCACATGAGGTTAGCCCTAAACCCTAAACCCTAAACCCTAAACCCTAAACCCAAAATGCCTCAAGTGCCCTAAACCTAAACCTGAAACCCTAAACCCATATCAGGTTGGCGTTCACCCCCTATAGACCCCTAAACCTAAACCCTAAACCCTAAACCCTAAACCCTAAACCCTGAACCCTGAACCCCTGCCAACTGGGAGGTGGCAAGTCGAGCGCCTTCATCTCCCTGGCCATCATCGGCAACCTACTGCCTTAGCCTCGGGTTTGGCGCACAGGGACTATACAAGTAGGGGCCCCCTTACTAACCTTAGTTAAGAGAGTTATAACCTTCATAGTAATACTTATAACCCAATTTGGGGCCCTTATGACCTTATTTATATCTAGGGGGCCCTACATGTAGAGTCTGATATAGTCTTCTTCTTCACCATTGTTTGTTTCTTAGCTTTTGTTGGCATGATACATGAAAAGTCTAGTTGTAGCTACTACTGTATGCATTATGATAATAATAGATTAGATTATTAGCATTGACCTGCATATTTTCTTGATTTCGAAGACATGAAATGAAATTATGTTGGGTTTTTGCTTTCCATTCTCTCTATGTATATACTTATATACATATATATGTGTGTGAAAATGTGACACAAGACCTACAGGGCTTATTGGGCTTGGGGCTCGGGGCTTCGACGGCCGAGGCCCCGCAAACTCTGAGCTTAATTACAGGCCAATACTTGCTACAAATAGCAAAACACCGACAAGAACCGCGGTCTAGGGTTCGGGACCTACCTTGCCTCGCCTGAGATCCCAAACCCTGAGTCCTGCCTCCCGTAAATCCTGAACCCTAAACCCTAAAACCCTACACCCTAAACCCTAGACCCTAAACCCTAAACCCTAAACCCCCAAAAAGAAGCCTAAAGCCAGAAGCGGTTAAGGGGTTTTGGAAGCCCCAGGTCACCCTTCCAAGCTCCTTTGTCACAGCGGGGTGACATTTTGGATTTTTAAGGGTGCTTAAACTCAATAAGGAACAGAAATTTGAATGTTTAATACTATATAAGGAACAGAAATTTGAATGTTTAAGACTATATAAGGAACAGAAATTTGAATGTTTAATACTATCCTGAGCTGTCTAATACCCCCCACTGCTCCCTAAGGCTCCCTAAGCTTCCCTGACGTTCCCTAGGTACCTACCCCCTTGAAACCCCCTCCCTTAAGAACCCAAGAAAACACCCCCCCGCCCCTGCCATCTCCATCTCCGAGGGGCGCGAGCCTGTCCAGCTGCCTCCATGCGCCCACGACCTCCGAGCTCGTGCTTTCCTTCCGGACTCCCCCCCTAAACCCTAAACCCGAAACCCGAAACCCCAAACCCTGTTTTGGGCCCCCGGTTGATTCCACAGATGCCGCAGAGTGGAGGGTATGTGGGGGATCGATCAGCTACATCCCAAGGCCTTTGATTGCATCGTTGTCTTGATTGCGAAATGATATTTTCCGACATTCGCTCAGAGTGACCCCCAGCGGCCCAAGGGTCTCTAATTGGCTAAGATCAGCCACTCTATCTGTACCATGTCATACACTCGCTCTGCATGGGTACCACTTGCCTAGCTGCCTCGCAACTGGCCTTCCCAGTTCATCGCATGGCAAGAGCCTCATTGCCCAGGGATCTTTCTCAAGCCCAACTCGGTAGAGGCCGGTTCGGTTTCGAAGCGCTTGGGCCATGGCCTCACCCGCCGCCAAGGATGGGGCATGTTCGGAGGGATATGCCCCAATCACCATCGGCAGCATGGCTGAGGAGCGCCAGGCGGTGGTGGCCAAGGTCGCTGAGGTGGAAGCTCTGAAGCAGCAGCTTGAGGAGCAGACGCAGAAGCTGATCACTGCCGCGGGGATCAGCTGCCGGAGGGGGTGGTCATGGTGTGGAAGAAGGACTTGGACGAGGTGAAGAATCGGACTAAGTCGCCAGATACCCGGGGTGGCTACGCAGCGTACCGATCTTTAGCCGATTACCAGAGGCCGAAAGATACGTACGACATACGCAAGTGCGCCAACTGCAGCGTCTACTACAAGTCCGAGGCGACTCTGCACAGGAACTTTCAGAAGCGTGGTGACAATGTGGCGTGGCAGCAGGAAACTCCCAAGTACAGCTGCCCGAAGTGCGGCTCACGGGAAACTACATACGGTTGATGCCCTCTCGCATCCGTGTCCTCAACCTGTGGTCCTGCTGGACGGCATGACTGCGCGTACCCAAAGATCCTTTTTACTTTTTGGGTTATGGGCTTTCTTATATATGAACAAAAAGGATCCTTTTTTCTTCCTAGGGGAACAGGGATTAAGTAATGGCCAAGTGAGAAAGCAGCCCCAGCCCTCAGCATCCACGAAACCCTCAAAATCTCTCTCAAAACAAGAAGCCTGAAGCCCCTTCTATCAAAGAAGCCCGAAGCCCGAAAATCCGCCTAAAAGCCAAGAGCAAGCCCGTCCCTAATAAACCCTGAACTTTCAGGCTATTAACCCGAAACCCATAGTATTGTAAACTCCAAGCATGTTTCAGGTTACGAGTCAGCCCCTGTTGTTTTTTATAATTCAGGGCGGCTACACTTGTTGTTGGTGTCATGCTTGTTGAAAGCATTTCCCGAATAAGCAAAACTTCATATCCCCCAAGAAGCAGCACCTAAGTATCTCCCGATAGCTTTCTCGGTGGCTTCGCCGTATACTTCGGTGTTTCCACTATTGTACTCCCGCGACTTTTAGAAGCCGTAAACCCTAACCCCCTAGTACTACTATTAGTTTTGTTTCATTTTTTCGGTTCTCATTCATATTGTTATTGTCTTTAAATTATTCATGCTCGATTCACGAAGCCCGATAAACCTCTACAAGCCCTGCATCCTATAAACCCTGAAGCCCTAAACCCCACCTAGACCTCTGACCGGAGAGGACTCCGACGGACACGGAGGCGCCATGGCTTCAGGCAGACTGGGGCTAAGCAGGGTTTAGGGTTTAGGGCTGATAGGAGGTTTAAGGGGATCATGGAGTTTGGGTTAGGGGCTGGCGTCTCGTAAGGGTTTAGGGGTGAGGTTTTGAGTTTTCAGGCAGGCCCAGGGGTTTGTGGCATTATGGGGGCTCTGTGGTTTACAGGACGTAAGTCTTGAGGGCTTCAGGGTTCATGATGTAGGTATTGGGGGTTGAGTGCCATGCGGTGCCAGGTTTGCAGCTCAATTTCTACTTCTGAGGGTCCCATGACGAATTAGGCATGTCGCTTGTGGCAAAGTTCGGAGGTCAAGGACTTTCGGGGACCGTGGATTGAAACAGAAAGGCTTTCACCCTGAACCCCCCCCGCCCCCCCAACCCCAAACAAAAAGACAACCCTAAACCCTAAACCTTAAACCCTAAACCCTAAACCCTAAACCCTATACCCTATACCCTAAACCCTAAACCCTAAACCCTAAACCCTATACAACCCTCAAGCTCTCCTCAAGCCCAATCCCTGAGCCCTCCCAGAAAGCCTAAACCCCAAGAGCGCGCGTGAGAGGCGGGCGCCGGCGCCCCGCAGATTCTTCGGCTGCGGCTCCTGCGCCCACTGCGGCCCGGTTGCTATTATCCTTCGGAAACCTCACCTCTTGAAGCCTGCCTTAGGGTTTAGTGTTTAGGGTACCCAAACACCCTAAACCTTAAGGCAGCTGCAGTTTAGGACTTAGGGCTTCAGCCCGAGAGCCTTCAGACAGCAATCATCTCAACATTATAACCTCCGAGCCCCAGGGCGTGGGATGTTGGGTTTTGGGGTTCAGCGTTTGTGGGCTTAGGGTTTAGGGTTAGGGCTTAGGGTTTAGGGCTTAGGTCTCAGGATTTGGGGTTTGGGGTTTAGGATTTGTGGTGCAAGGCTGTTACTGCAGGGTTTTGGGGTCAAATGGGCATCTCGAGTTTCCTTTGCGCCCTGTCTTGCCGGAAGGCCGGCCCGCCCCCGAAAGCCCACCCCCTTGATCCATGTCCACCGAAGATTCGTAGTTGAGTAGGCAACCTTGACCTTTTTTTGCGGGGATTTCTGGGCTCCCTTACTAAGTTATAAAGTAACCAACCCCTTAGTAAGTTATAAAGTAACCAACCCCAAAACGGGTGCCCTTATTGCAGTATGGTTATACATACCCGAAAACCGAACCCCGAACTCTGCAAACCCCGCGGCCCTCCCCGCCTCTCTTTTTCCCCTTCATCCCTACACACTGTAGACTCCGGACAAAACCATGCACGGTCACCTCTCCGAATCATGGTCCAGTTTCCCTAAACCCTGTACACGCCCCTGAATCCTAAACCATCCCTAAACCCTCTTTTGGGGCACCCCGTACCCTCTTAGGAGCGACATTGCCCAAACCTGGGCCCTTGAATTCAAGAGCCCGCCTAAGGGTTTACATACAAAGTTTCGGGCTCGGGGTTTAGGGTTTAGCCTCCTACACGCACCCGCATGTACATCGCATGTCCGAAAACCGAGTGTGGGGATTTCTGTTTAGTGTAGGCCATAAGCCCCCATAAACCGTAGAAACCCCTGAAAACCCGATAAGAAACCCTACAACCCCCTATATGCCTTTTAGGGTTCAGGGCTCATAGGGCCGGCGCTGTTATTCTCTTGCGTTCCGCGCACGAAAATTCTTTAGGAGCGCTGGAATTGTTTTACGGGGAGGGTGCCTCCGGCCCAGGCTCATAGCACTTCGCCGCACGACAGGCCGCGTCATTGTCTCCCTACACAAGACCTTGCCTGCATGGGGCTCTGTTAGCCTACTATCTTGGGGGTTATGCCCAATAACCAAGGGGTTCTCACCTCCAATGTCGCAGGGTTTGGCCTAACCCTCGGCGTTGCAACCCACTGTTTTGTTGGATCTTGGGGTTGCCAGCAAGCCTTACGCCCCCCGAAGGCCTGTACACTATCCGCCCCTGCAAGCCCTCAGGTCCAGGACCCTTGCAAGCCCCAGTCTCAAGCCCTTGAGCATCCGAGTTGAAGACTACTGGTGCAAGAACCCTGAATGCGAAACCCTAAACCCTAAACCTATAGGATGACCTACAGCCAAGCGCAAGGATCCATTGCCTCAGAGGTGTGGTTTTGGTTTTTGGGGGTGTCGGGGTGTTTAGACTAAGAATCACCCTCGTCCCCCCCCCCCCCCCCCTCCCATGACAGTCCCTTAACGCCTCAAAAGAGCTGATTCCCCGAGTCCCCGAGACTTGGAAGTACGAACCTCGAGCCCTAAACCCTAAACGCCAAAAAACAGCTCCCTCGCAAACCCCCGGAGAACCCTAAAGCCGCTTAAAGACAAGCCTGAATGTCCGGAAAGAAAAACAAAAATCCCCGCACCCCCTAGGCGGGCTTAGGGTTTAGGGTTTAGGGATTATAGGGTTTAGGGATTTTAGGGTTTAGGGCTTAGGGTTTAGGGTTGATCAGGGGTTTAGGGTTTGGGGTTTAGGGTTGATAAGGCATAGGGTTTAGGGTTTAGGGTATGGGGGCTTAAGGGTTAAGGGTTCAAGGGCTTAGTGGGCATCTAGGGGCACATTTAAGGGTAAACCCTAAACCCTAGACCCTGGACCCTAAACCCTAGCAGCCCTTAGCAGGCGCGGCGCTGGACGTGCTCAGCCGTGCCGCCGCCATCGGCTGCGGTGCGGTCGTCCTCGATGCGACCTCGGATTCACCTTCAGGCCCGAGGTTTAGGGGGTTTCAAAGGTTGTATAGGGGGTTTAGAGATTATAGGGGTTTAAGATTTAGGAATTTAGGGTTTATCAGTTTTAGTGTTTATAGGGTCTAGGATTTAGGCTTCAGGTTTTGTGGCTTAGAGCATAGGTTTTTAGGGTTCCTCCAAGAAAGATGAGTTCAGGGTTGAGGGTCATAGTACACAGCGTACAAAGTCATCAAAGATGCAGATATAGATATGACATAGATATGCCGTTAACCAAAATTCAGAAGGGGGAGTATCCCAGTTATTGTGTATGCGTAGGTCAACCCCAAACACTCCTAGTAGTAGAGTAGGTAATCTTTAACCTTTTTGGGGTAGTATATCCCTTTATAATCCCAAAGGTTGACCTTTCATTCCCCCGGGTTACTGGACGACTAAGCACTAAGCCCTAAAGCCCAGAAGCTCAGCCGTGAACCCTGCACCCTGGGCAGGTTTCCCGCCGCCAACGCTCTGCCATTGGCAAGACTCGCAGGCACGTCAAAGGTTTTATTGGGAAGCTTCAGGGTTTTTTAGGGATTACTGAGGGTTTTCAGGGGTTTTTAGGGGTTTTCGAGGGTGTGAAGCGGTTTCAGGCGTTCAGAAGGCGTGCGGCTCGTAGTTAGTTCTCAGAGTAACAGGGCTGCATGGCGCATGTTATTCGATCGCACTTAGATTCACGCGCCCTGCGCCACTTTGAACCGTAGCATCGTATGTTTATGTAGGGTTCTTAAGGCTAGTTTCGAAAGCTCCATAAGCTTCCCTAAGGTTCCCTAGGTACCTGCTTCCCATGAACCCCCTCTCCCT